AAATAATTATTTAAATACATACGTGTTTGGAAATTTTATTTTATCTTTTATATAACCCTGAAGTATTTTACAAACCATATTTAAACAAAACAGTCAAATACTTTAACGCTTAAATATTAGTGTATGACATGTAAACCAAGTAATTACATAAAAATTACATTCATGGGAAAATGTTAATCATTACTGTTTGCAATTAACTCAAAATTTAATTATTTTTCGTATTTTTCGTACACATACGTAGTTAATTAATATTTAATGTGTCAAACAATATTTAAAAGAGTGGCACGTTTGCGATGTTTCTATACATAAAAATACATTCAAAAATGTATTAAGCAAATCGTGAAATCAGTCCTCAATGTGGTAATGAATTTGAAAAAAATTGCTGTAAGTAGACAATTCAGGTCATCTTACAACCAGTCAATTGAAAACTAAAAATTTGATTTTAAAGAGTTAAAAAACGCTGAGATACTTTTAACACAAGCTTTTTTTTAACGTTTTAACATAAAGATGCAATTATTTTTAGTCTAAATTATAAGGCAAATATATAATAACATTAGGAAGCGGCATTGGCTCAGTAATAGGCGTCATTATCACTGATAAGACGCCGTTCTAGGAGATGTGGGCTTAATTCACCGTGAGTGCAGATTTTTTCTAAAACTGTTTACACTGTTGAAAAAGTTCCGGCTGTTTACAGCGAATTTTTTCGTGGAATTTTCGTTTAAAGTGATTATAGTGTTTTTGTTTATCACCTACAGATCTTCAGGTTTAAGTAAATGTGAAACCGTGCTAGGGCTATGGGTAGGGATTATCGGATCCAGAAAGACTTCCGCACGTAATTGGTGAGTGGACTATCCCGGTGACTAAGCCAATAGGCTGTTGTGATAGCCTAGTAAAAAAAAAAAAAAAAAAATGTAATACAATATTGATTTTTAGATGTATTTTAAAGAATAAGTGTTATTAGAATATTAACAAAACATAATATTTTTTCTGTATAATTATAAGATCTACAAAAAAATATGAAAAATAAATATCCAAAAAACTTTTAAAAAATGCATTAACTAATAAATAACAATATTTTTTACTTTAAAATTGAAAGAAACATTTCGCTAAAGTTTGAGTTATAGAGGTTAGTGTGCATCCTGCGCAACACGTTTGAGCCCATTAAATATATACATATATACATATATATGTATATATGTATATATGTATATATGAAATTTGTAACAAATATTTGCATCTATGTATATATGGTGGCCAAGTGTTGTTTTTTTGTAACGGCCAGGTGCATGTGTGCATCGTCTTTTCGGTGCCTTGTGCTACCCGCCTTTGTCATTGCGTTAAGTCAGTTTGCACCTATGTTAACTATAGCGTTTCCCGGTTTTTACCGTGTCTTACTTATCGTTTACGGTATGATCTGTTTCTCGTTTCTTGCGTTCGCTTACTCAAAACTACCACTACGTGCTTTTTTTATAATTGTTATTGAAAGTTCAGAATTACTAGAAGGTGATGGCGAGTAAATTTTTATGAATGTTTGACTGTTCCCTCGAAAGTCTTGTGCTCTATGTGAAAAATCACATATTTAATACATGGACTGGAAATTCATGAATAAAGTATCGGTTGATGAAAGTTTTTTTTTAGTGTACGTTGAGAAACTGTCAAAAAAAATGTATTTTTTTATCATTCGCTATTGAATTATGCGTACGTTTTTTGTGTAGTCGATCGGTCGGTCTAATTCCTCAAGAATGTATATCTATATTCACTATTTACATAGATATACATGCTGAAATTTCGTAACGACCGAAAGATCGATCACGAAAAAAACGTACCCGTTATTGGGCACGTCCGATTATCTATCGTTCATCCGTTCGCACTCCATTAGGACCTCGGTTCATAGGAACACTACTTATAAACAAAGTACGATTCACCGAGCGATTCTTTTTCCGTACTTCAACCTACATCAACCTATTAAACAAACTTTCTTATACGGGATAACGAAAAATTGTATAAGTCACTTGAACGTTAGGTGGCTAATGGATGACTGCGTGATGTCGCCCCCTTCAGCCACATTATGACCTCGTGACGTAATTTACTGATATTTCATTTATTATGTTCAATAATTGTCAAAAAATCACGTCTTAGCTATTACTTGGTGACTAGTTATTTTGAATGACAAGAAGAATTTAGAAAATTCTCCATTTCAAATAATAAAACTCCATTTAAAATAGACAGTTTTTAGCGTTTAGAGCGTACTTCACGAAAAAGAAATTTTTTTGACACAGTTACTTCACAATACTATTCCACACTGTTAACCATACAAAAGTTATTTACTTTAAACGTAATATTTAAGAAGAGTTTGATCGATAAATAGATAAAAAAATAAAAACAAAAATTATTTAAGAACATTGTATTTAATAAACTTGAATAAACTAAGTCTGTTAAATTTTATATAAGGGGGAAATCACACCAACTGCCCCGCCGCTGCAGACGGCCCGTGCGAGCGTAAAACACTGTTTTCAACTCGTCGTTTCGGTCTCAAAACGTCAATAAAAAATTATCAAAACAGATACTCTTACGTATTTTTTCCTTAGCTTTCCAGTGATGGCATCCGTTTTACAAAATTTTGCCTCTATTACCTCGAAAAGTGCAAAAGTTCAAAAAACACGTTATATTTTCATGATCTTCAACTTTTGCCATTTTTTGGACTATCTAGATCGAAAGATTAGACTTTTTTTATTAAAGATTAGACATGGGAATACCTAAGAGTATGTACTATGATGATTCTTTTACTAACGTTTTGAGACTGAAACGACGAGTTGAAAATGTTGTGGTTAACGGTCGCGCGGGCCGTCCGCAACGGTGCTAGCGTGATTCTCTCCATAAGTCATGCGCGTTTAGTTTTTAAAATAGTTGTACGTTTGCATGGGTCGTAGATCATTTTTTTTTTTTTTTTTTTTTTTTAACAACTATAAAACTCTATGAACTCGATGTGTGGTAAAAAAGGATAATAATAATAGTTATAACAATAATAATGATACATGATACGTTTTTAATACATAACCTTTTTTCAATATCTAACAATTTTTCTGAACTTTTTTAGCTAGAAGACACCATTTTAATATTAAATTAGTTGATACTTCACTTTTAATCTAATTAAACATTTTTTTTTACATTGGTAGCTAATAGTTCTTTTTTTGATGTAGTCAGCTTAAACACCTTATTAACTTTGCTTCCGAGATCTGAGCATTTCTTTCATAACTTTATAAGCAATAAATTTTTTTTTCCTACATATTACATATATTTAAATCATGGTAAGTGGTTCTGTAACCACTACAAATATATCATCTAGTAAATTTACTCTACCGGTGATTGTTATCAATGTACTTCCTATACACTGTATCATCTAGTTGCTATTATTTTTGTAGCCTGTAAGAAGTAACATAAACTTTTAGACTTTTTTTTATCGTTTCCATCGAAACAATGTCCAAAAATGTGTGTCTAAAATTTAAGATCAAACTAGTGTAGAAAATTTTTTTTTTTAATATCTAAAGACAGACGTCAGTATAAAGAACATAGCTCTGTCTTACTGTAGCCCATGTTTATGTCTGTTCCTTGTATATTTTGTTTTACAACTAAGAATGCTACATTATCACTATAGGATTTTTAAAGTATCTTTCTTTTAAGAGCTATTTAAGCTTCAACGCTGTTAATGATGATCGCATTAGGTCTTTAATTGTAGTTTTTTAAAATAATAAGAAAACATTGGTTTTTGTTTAATTTTTTGCAACCAATAAATTTTTTCATATTCTTTATAAGAAACCACTGTTAGATAAAAGGTACCATGACATCAAATAAAAGCCTTAATGTGATTTTACATAAATGATTACTTTTAGGGTTTGTACGAATTTGACAGTTTTCATTAAAAATATACAAAGAAAATGCTAAACCATTTTACAATAAGTTCTTATACTAATTGTTTTATAGTTAAAATTGTAAAATAATATAGTTTCTTAACATTACAAAAATCTTCAAGTATTCGTAAAAATTTTCTTAATTGTAAATTTTTTGAATTTTTTTAAGTAAAGATTTGTTTTAGAAACAATTTAATTTTTATTGACTTACTGCAAAAATTGCTGAACCCTGTTGTAACTTTTTTTAGAAAAGTCTCGAGATTCCTCATATCTGACTCTTTTAATATTTTTGGAGTACAGATCAGCTTGATGAAATTTTAATTTGATTATATTGTATATAATTTTTAAGAAATACTTTAAAGCTTACGTTAAGAGGTTTTTTGTAACTTAATGATTCAAGATTTGAAAAAATTTGTTAGTTATTAAATGTATAGCCATTTAAAAACATAAATAATATATTATTACGAAGTTTCTTAAGGGGCCAACTATTTTTTGAAGTAATTGTAACCTATTTCTCAACTTTAAGTACAAAATGATACAACTGTTAAACAGTCGAAATTACCTTTTGTATTGGTAATTTACTCGACTTCAGCCGCTTTGACCTGACATATCTTTATATTTTACAAACAACTGATACAAATTTGCAAAACTTTTTTTTTACTATTTGATTAATAATCCTTTGTAATAATGATTCTAACTTTTTTTTTAAATTGCTTATGTTATAGCAATTTGAGGTCCTCATACAGGTTGTAGTTTAGTTGTCTTTGCATTGCTGTGTTACTGTGGACATAAAATCATCGTGGTAGCACAGTTTCTTGGGCTATGGTTCTTATAACTTGAGAGCTTCGTAGCACATACTCAGTTCTAGACCCGATTTTTACTCATTTGCTAGTTTTTACTCATTACTGCTGTGTGAATTATCGATTAACCAAAAATCTGAGACTGTTGTAACTTTGTCAATCACGACAGTATACTCAGTATTCTAATTCTTAGGGCCATGTATCTTTTTCTGTCATTTATAGCGATATAGTTCAATCATATGTATAATTAGTCATATGGTTATATATTAACTAATGATTTTTTTTATTTTAGATGTTCAACCTCAACAAGGAAACTCACAGATACCAATGCATTTACCTTATCCTCTTCAAAATCAAGGAACTATGCCTTTACCGTTCGGCTCGGCACAGTTAGCATCATACCCCCATTTTGTAACAACTCCTTTGCCTTCAACTTTCAATCCATATGCAACAATACAGTATCCAAGTCAAGGTGCGTATGCATTATTTTTATTAGAATTATGGATTTTCTTTGGGAAAGTCCAGAAATGTTTTCTTATGGTCTTTATTAAAATACAATAATATAGCGCTGTTTGAATTCTTGTACTGTTTTACCTAAATAAGAAGGATTAATACATATTATCGATAATGGTTGAGAGCTCTTATTTAGTCGTGATTTATTCTACGTGTTGTAAAAAATAAACGGATGTTTTTACGATGTTCTTAGCTATGTAGTTGTATGGGTATTTCAAAATAAAAATGAACAACTTGACACGGGCTACAACGGAAAAATTATCATGACCTAAGAAAACTTACAATAGTAATGATTGAAAATCGAAAAAAGAAAATTTCTATATTTTAAATACTAAGGATTCATATGATTCTCTGACTTTTATTTGTATCCATACTAATTGAGAAAAAATATTGATTTTTTAAAATAAAAATAAAAACTTTCGTAAGGCTTCTAACATTGATGCATTTATGACATAGGAATAAACTATATTACGTTCTATCGGTAATGTCGTAAGCTTCTTACACCCCTTATTTCCCTTCTTCTTAACTTCTAACCCCGCTTCACCATCGCATTGAAAGATTATAGTGAACCTTCTTAATCCAGGACTTACTCTTATTTCTTAATTATTTTTTTTCATTAGGATTCATGCTCGTATGAACAGAGTTTCGGGTTATGAGACGACTTCTGTATCATGGAAAAAAACTGTTCTTGCATGCACATGCATTTAAGTGGTTAAATGGATTTAAAAATTTCAATACTACCTTAATCTCTAAATTAAGAGAAAAGTTTCGTTTCACGCTTTTTTTTATAACAATTTTATTCACTAGAGCTTATAAATAAGCTTTTGATTGAATTTCGAAATTGAATTCAATTAGCTTGGTTTTTAAAATATTGATCGTTAAAAATTTTTCTATTGGTTACTCAAAAACCAATCGTTATCATAAAAAAAACAATTTCTATGAAGAAAAAAAAAGGTATTAACTTATACTACTTTATGTACGCATAAGTGTAAGGATAATTTTATTTTAAATCGATGCCGTTAGAAATCTTTAAACAATTGTTAAACTTAGTATGCATTCACTTGAGATCAAAAGAACTTGCCATTGTCTAAAATGATTAATATTCCAGCCAATTTCAAACAAAGAAAGTTATCGATAAAATGAGACATTGTCAAACGATTGATCTCTTTAGCTCATCAGTGTGGAGCTTTGGTGATCTTAGCTATAAAGAAATACGATGGGCTCAGATCATACCTCCACTTTAGCGCTTACATGCTGCTGTGGTGAGGTTTATGTAGGTAGTCTAGGATGTAAAAGATGAATTAAAGAAATCCAAAAATCTTATACATTTACCAAAAGCCACTATACAATGATAATTATCACATTAATTTTATATTCCTTTTTCACGTATACGTATAATTTCCAATCAAGAATTAGCCCCGTCTCACAATAACTTTTAGACTTTAGTACGGTTTTATTTTTTTATTGCCTGTGTATGTGTATACTTTTTTTCAATAATATTCTGCGCATACAAGCACATGTATTACTTTAAAGTTGAACTATAATTAAAAATCATACTTCAAGACGTCACTTTGGAAGCTTGGAGTCAAAAGGAAAAGGGAAGAGAAATAGTATCGGACAGAAGTAAAATTGTTTCGCTCTTGATTGCAAACTTAGACTTATCAGTGTGTTGAGTTAGCCCTCTAAGCTATACACAACTATCATATATTTGACTTATATTTATACTTACGTGCTTATACGCATCTGGGGTCAGATTGAGATAGTCAGTCTGAAAAATAAGCGAGGAAGTTTAGATATCTGACATATTTTTTTAAATCCACTATGTAGTAATCATCTTATTGAAACTCCTGAAAAATTTACTAATTCTTGAATATGTTAGTATGTGTGTACTTTTTCAAGAAAATAAAATTATTCATGCATGTATGCATTAGTGCATACCAAGCAAGTTTAAACTAAGTTGAAAATCATACTAAAGGTTTTGCTTTGAAAGCTTATAGTTAAAGAAAAAAAGGAAAGGAATAATATGATTAATTCTTTTATGTACAATTTCTTTGTCATATGCATGTATGTATGCAGTTTTTTAGAAAATTATACCCATATCTATGTGATAAAAAAATAACTAAGTATAAGAGTCTGAAACTTCTTGTCGAACGTTCTTACTTTCTAATTGAAAAGTGTAAGTATGAGTAGAAGTACAAATTTGAGTTTTAATTAAAAAATTACAATAAATTAGCCTTCGGTAAATGTATCAGATTTCTTTAGACTTTCTCTTATTATTTTTGGACTTATTAATCTTGCTGCAGCTGTATAAAAGTACGTAACTATAAATGCTATCAGAGTCCATCATATTCGTCTGCAGTTAAGATCGCTAATGCGTTATACTGAGAACTTTAAAAAAGAAATAAAAAAAAGAAAACCGTCTGCTTTTTGTATAATTAATTCCTTTCCTGTTCTTCATTTAATCATTTGACTTTAAAATTCTAATATGAAGCCTCTTAGTATACATAACTTACATTTCAAGATATACTTGCTTGGTATGTAGTTATGTGGGTGGTTTAATTGGTGTAGTTATTTTAATTAACTACACACATACCCATGTACTAAAAAAATAAAAACGGACGACAGTCCGAAAGCGATTGTGGCAGAGTGGTAATTTCTCATTAAATTACAAACATACAAGTGAGAATAAAAATTGTTCTTCATACTTTATGTCTAACGGTCATAAGAATTTCAGACTTAAAATTATTTGTCGATTTATGAGGTCTATAAATTAGAACTAATATTCTATTATAAAATTTTGCTGTGAGACAAAATATTTTACATAAGTTTGTCTACGCAATTTACGCATTTTTGGTGACTTTTACACGTATAAAAATTGTATCTAAATCGAATGAAGTCGTGTTACAATAGAATTTTTATTTTGCTGTAGTTGGATAGCAAATCAAATAATAATGATAATAATTTTGTTGAGATACTCTTGTAAGCGTATTTTATCAGGTATGTCAAATTTTCAGCTTACTTACTAAAATGTTTTAATACAAATGTCAAAAGAAACTAAATGAAAATAATATAACTATGTCTGCTACCCATGATTTTTGTAGTCTACGTTTGGTCACTTATGAAGCTGTATTTTGTGTCAAGAGCAAATACAAAAAAAAACCGTTGGCCAGAGTAAACGTTATTGCAATCAGATAAGTAAACAAAATAGTTAGAAGAAATTGTGTTGTGGAATATATAAGGTAACTTTCTAAAAATAAATTTTCATGTTGAGATAAATGAAGTAAAGATAGATGAAGACAAGTTCCACGAACAAATAAAACATTACAGTAAGAATGTTTCTCTTTCCTTACAAAACTCTGTACAATGTCAAAAGTTCTACACTTCGAGACATTGATTTAAGGAACAAAATTTTCCAAGAACTTATAAAAAATTTTAAGAATTAGTTATGTTAGTTGCACTTCATGCACTTTAGTTATTTTGTCATTTAATTCAATTCACACTTACACATGCTTTTTGTTTTGTTATTTAGTTTTAATGTACAAATAAACAAAATAACTTTTCTGCATTTTCTATCTTGTTAAAAGTAAGAAAAATTAGTTTTCTTGCTACCTGTTATTCGTATCCTTTCTTCAAACTAATAATTGCATCAACAATTCTTTTATTTTCGATACCATAACAAATACTATAAGATCTTAGCTTTGTAAAGTAATATACTAACTCTTAACATGACAATTAAATTGAAAAGTACAACCAAATCAAATAGTATTTACCTCTCCATAATTTTACCAACGCAAATAAATTTTTTTTTTTAATTTTCACTTGAATTTAGTGAACTTAATTTCTTAAACAGTTCTCTCAAATTAACCATTTCATCTGTTTGGATTTGAAAGTATCAATAATTTAATTGTTCTTCATTACAAGATCTTAATTATTTCAAATATTACTTTTTTCATCCATACCTTTCAAAGTCATTTTTAAGTTCTATGCTCTTCGTGAGTTTTGTCCAATCACAGAACGAATAAAAAGGCTTCAGTCACATGTTCAATCAAATTATAGCAAAATTACAAAACTAAAAAAATAATATCCGAAGGACAGAGCATGATAAAAACATTTTTTTGTTTAAAAGTTTTCAGAGATCACAATTTTTTAACTGATGTAGATCGTTCGTTTTGTTCTCCAGATTAGAAGGTTTGTGAGGTATCTGTCATGCAGGATTTAAAATTTTTTTTTTTCTACGTCAACTGTACTTTATTTCAGAGGTAAAAAATCGTCCATTCTTGCTAAATAACACATTGTTTAAAATAAATTAGTCAACGCTACGCAAAAAACAAGGTAAAAGTTATCATTCAATGTATACTTTAAAATTCCTTCAGATATCTAATTAAGACATCTCAATATAATAATTAGGAGATTTAGCATAAGTAGTCCGAGTATGGCAGACTAGTGGTATAATCTTATTTGGATTGTACCTGTTTTAGGTAAAAATAAATTTGTCGTAAGAAAAAGTTATTAGAGACTTCAATTTTCATACGTTCTACTTTATGTACACTAGGTTTATAAACGACTTATTTAGGATGTATACATTCAAGAGAAGTCAGATAGTTGGAGTTTCCTACCTTTTCAATAATGTTACTTTAATTTTACATGTTTATTAGATTATTTATTTAACTGCTGGCTATTTTGACGAAAAAATGAAGACGCTTGTTCTTCACATTTCAAAGAATAAATTAAACCAACACTTGGCAAGATTAGTTTAGAATTCAAGGCGAAAAGTGAAAAATCAGATGTTATACTGATGAGATGCAATCTGGTTTTTTACTTTTTATCTCTATATTTAAATATCTCTCGCCAAAGTTAAGCTGTTTTTATTCTTTGTAGATTAATGAATGTGCGCTTATACTTTTTTTTTCCAAAAATTATTTAGAATAAATTGCTAACGCAAATAACGTCACCCAACTG